AGGAGACTCGGCAGTCAGTAATAGCGAGTCAGTCAGTAATAGCGGGCCACCGTGACTGGCCGCTCAGGCAGTATTGCCGGCATCGGGTCGGACGCGATAGCGTCCCGTACGCACAGGCAGTCGGTATGTCTCCGGGGAGTAGTTAACACGCGACATAGTATCTCGTATAATCAGGTTAGTGGTGAAGTTCGTAACAACGGAGGAGTCCCCTCAACTGACCGAACTCCAGAGGACCGAAGACGTGTCGTTGTTGAAAGTCTAACTACACATAAGGTAACAGATTTCTATATACTAACCTGAATAATTATAATAGTACAACTGTCAATTCTTCACTCTCTTGCTTCTCGTCTCCCGGCGCGCCGAATGACTTATTAACGACTGTATTTGTAAACTACAGGGTACATTCAATATATTGTAGACTCTAATTGGGTTTTAATGTTCCTTTCGGCCGATTCAGACAGAGACTAGGAGAGTACAAGATTCTGCTTATACATATATCCGGCTTCTAAAGTAAGCCCATAACCTCAGCTCTTTACATGACCTGAGACCTAGGAGTCCTTACCCCTATCCCGAAAATCCCTTATCTTTTCGTAAATCCACGAAGACGAACCAGTCAGTTCGGACCAGTGGGGCCAGTAAGCCTAGCAGCCGCTCGCAGGGTTAGCATCCTTTGAGGGTCTATAAAGTATTTCAGTGGTGACAGCGGAGTCGCCTCCTGTATTACAATGATATTGAATTTTTACAAAGATTTAGGTTATCTAAAGATACAGTTCATTATTTACATCAAAATATTGCTGATAAAATAAAAAATCCAAATAAATATAAAAAATATACTTCTGCAAACAATTTTTCACATGAAAATAAACATATTGCAAGAATATGCTTTACTTACTTCAATGGTTTCATATTCAAATGGTTTATTAATAAATTTAACTTAAGGAAACGATTAAAAATTAAACTAATTAATTAAATTAAACTAATATTAAATAACAGAATTATTAGCGGACTTATATTCACAAAAACCATTCAAAAACTAAATAATACAAAATTAGCGGGAAAATTGAGATTTAACCTCTAAATGAATACGCATGCGTTACGTTGCCAACCTTATCAAAATTTATATGAGCCTTGATTTAACTAAACTTGCCATTGAACAACCCTCATGAAGTTGAACCCACACTTAAATTTGAGGCCGGTTCAATTAAGCGATCGCTTAAGCCTGCAATGTACAATCGGGCCTTAGCAATTCAGTAATTAACTCAATTTAAATCAGCAATAATGAATTTTACTACTGATGAAATGGTAGATATGATCTGGATATCGGGGGAATGTAATAAAAATGCATTACTATCAGCTAGAATTTATTAAGAACGGTTTCCAGATAGGCGGCAACCTAAACAAGATACATTTGAAAAATTGAAAGATCGATTTAACTGCACTTGTTCAGTGAATTATAAAAAACATAAACGTACAAAAACTAGTGTGACAGAGGAAAACGAAATGAGTATGCTGATGGCAGTTACAGAAAATCCACACACAAGTCTAAGGAGTATTTCCAATAAACAAGAACTTAGTTACTACTCTGTTCAAAACATTCTATCTAAAAACAAGATGCACCCATATCATATTAAAAAGCACCAAGAATTAAATAATGATGATTTTCAGAAACGAATAGTATTTTGTGAATGGGCCTTAGAAAAAATTAATGAGCAGAGAGATTTTTTTGATTATATCCTATTTGGTGATGAAGCTACAAAAACAATGAAAACATGAAACAAGATAATTTCTAAATGTGTGGGAAGGTATCGTGGGTAACCATGTAGTAGGATCATATTTTTATGAATATAACTTAAATGGTGAGATTTATTTAGATTTTATCGTAAATCAGTTACCGATATTACTAGAAGAGGTTCCACTTAATATACGTTAATAAATGTGGTTTCTACATGACGGTGCTCGTGCGCACCTCAACGAATTAGTACGTGGTAAACTTAATGATCAGTTTGGTGAAAGATGGATCTTAAGGGATGGACCGGTAAGGTTACCCCCAAGGTTACCAGAATTCAATAAAATGAAGACTCATTTTTTTGGTGTTGCGTTAAGAACGAAGTATATAAAATACCTGAAAACAACAAGCGATGATATGAAAAATAGAATCCGAAATGCATTTCAAAATATTTTTTTTACAAATGCTTAGTAATGTAAGCAACTCTTTCAATGACCGCTTAAGTTAAATAAGTTAAATTTACCGTTGTTTTTTATTTTTCTGTGTTGTTATTTTTTTTTAATTTTCTTTCGGTTATTTTTTATAAATTTTATTTCAAATAAATTGTTTTTTTTTCTCTGTCGTTATTTCGATACTGAATTAAAAAACAATAATGTCAAACGGTCAGTTTCTGACAAATCAATCCTGGCCAACTCACAATAATTATTGGTAAACGTTAAAATATCTACCAAATTACTACTTTGATGGAAAAATAAAAATATCTAGAAACCTGATAACTTTAGATACAGAGAGTACTCCATAAAATTTGAAGTACGATATTAGTACTTTTCGATAGTGATATAAAATACAGGGTGTTGTTTCATAAAATACTATGAAAACGAATATGTTCTATAATTTTTAACAATTATTAAAAAACTATATTTGCAATATATATCAATGTTTATATACCGCTTTTAAATTATACAGGAAGTTAAACTTAATATGATTTTCAGGTAATATTGGTAATAACTATTCTAATACTCGGTATAACATAATAAAACTTTACATTGTTGTGATGTGGAAGTGAAGCAGATTTAAAATTTAAAATAAAATACAGGGTGTTTCGTTGAAAAAAACATAAGATTGGTCTGCCACCATCTTATAGAACACCCTGTAAGATTGTAACTAATTTTAAGATGTGGAGTTTAAAGCTGCCTACTATTTTTGTTAATACCTTTTTTTGTAATTTTTACTATAACAAATCTACTGAGCTTCCTCACACTTATCAATCAGAAAAATTTTCTAACAAGTAACCAAAAACAAAATTTGATTAAAATATTAATGTTCTGTATTTTGAGAAAGATTTCCGAATTAGAAATCGAAACGTCATGAATAAACTTATTAAAAACTTAAATTGTGGCTTATTCCCCAAAATATAGTAAAAGACAAATACTTCTGTTTTATATTCAAACTTACCTTAAATATTACTAAAAAAGTTTTAAAAAATTGTTTTTACACAAATTAGGTGGTTTATTTGATAATTTATTTATTGAAATAATGCATATTCGTAAAGTACGCAAAATGTACATACAAGTTCAAAAAGAAACGTTGAAATACATAAAACAGAAACAGAGATACAGTTAACAGCGCCTTCCCCCTCCCTTCAGCACCCGCGAGTTTCAAAGCCGGCCGATTTTACACACATTTTGAAGCTTTGTGGACGATTCCATTAATAGGCAATATTTTTAAAAGTTAGTACTTTAAAACTATAAAGTAAATTCTTTCAAATAGCGCTAATTAGATTTCTTAAGTATTATAATCAAAGGTGCTATGAATTAAATAAAAAAAGAGGCTAACTTTGTCCCAAATTACTTTAGGGCAAATTTTTTTTCATTTAAATTTGTGAAAAATTCAGGCTTTTTAAATATAAAAATAATATTCTTACAGTAAATGGTTAAAAAGTTATTCTAATTGTTTATAAGCAAAAAATCGACATGTTTTTGCAAAATTATTTTGCAATATTTAAAATTAATTTTCTTAATTTTTTTTAATGTAAATAATAAAACAAGTCTTCTTCCAGAAACTACCCTTACAATTACTAAAACTATAATTTTCTGACTTATATTGTTGCAAAAAAAATGTTAATTTGGGATAAACAAATAAAATAACTTTTAAACTATTTGACCGATCACTTTGAAATTTTAACCAAACTTTAAGCCCTGCAAGACACACCATTAGATGAAATATAAATGTTATATGTTTATTTTCAAAAAAGTTATTAAAATTTATAAAAAACCGAAATTTATGACTTATTTGGAAAGCTGCTTAGCAACAAATAAGGATAGAAACATTTAGAAAACGCCATTTTGAAGGTTTTTATATGACATAAGTTTCCTTTCTTTTAAAATTTGTTGAAATTGCTTCAGTTTTTGCTGATAGACAAAAAAAGCAAAAAATTTCCGTTTTGTGACCTTAATTTGTTAATAACTAATTAAGTCCAAAAAATCGACTGCAGGAAACATATAGGTTTTTGTTACAGAGGTCCATACTACTCAAAACAACTGTCGTTTGCCTGGCCGGACGAGTGTCATGAAAAAATGCTTATTTCCCTGGGCTATTACGTATTTTCGCTACTAGAATATGGACTTAAAAGCTGGACACTGAAGTAAGAACACATAAATAAGCTACAGTCATTTGAATTGTGTTACAGAAGGATGCTTAGAAGAGCATGGACAGACGAAAACAAAATATTGCGAGAAATGGGCAAAGAATACGAAATAATAAAACACAATAAAAATAAGAAAGTTACAATATCTGGGACACGTAATGAGGCGACAGCGATGTGAAACGGTAAGATCGATAATACAGGAAAAGATAAGAGGAGAAAGGAATGTAGAAAGAGGTTTGAAAAATTTATGGGGCCGGTCTATATGCAGTTCAATCAATCAATTCAAAGCAGCGGTAGATGGAGTAAAGATGTGGAGACGGCACTTAAAGAAAAAATATGAATACCACTGTAACTGAATAAAGAACTGAATGGAAGTAAAAAAGGAACCAAAGAAAATGATAAATATTTTATATATACATATAAAATTAAAGACTAATACCATAATAAATATAAAAAAGAGTTGGTATTCTTGTTGCTTTTTTGTATAGGCAGCTGAAAAAATGCAGGAAGAAAATACATAAAACATTGTCTGTTTTTGAAACAATTTTAACATCATGGAAAAAGTTTATTGAATTCCAACAAAGATCAACTAGACTAGACATTGGTAATAATATATACCAATCAAACCTGAAAAATACCATCTTCATCGTGAATATTTGTTGGATCCGTTAAATGACGGTTCCCATCACCAGTCAATGTGGTAATGGCTAATTTTGATCCTATTTTTTCGTAACCAGGTGTTTCTGAATCAGTGTCGTTATTTAGTTGCTCATACGGAGGATCAGTTTTCTCTGAGGATGATTTTCCTAAGCTATTTGAACTTTCAGAAGTATCGTTCTTGTCTGATTCTGAAATAAAGAAACATTATTTTATTTTTTGCCTTGGACCACTAGTCATACAATCAGTCATATAATACGATACACACAAGCCGACCCTGGATAAGGGCCTACATAGGTATAGTAAAGATAAAGATATAAGTAAAGATAATGATTCAAAGTCAATTTGTAATGTAAGGATTGGGTAAATTGATTGTCACTTATTAACATCGGCTTCATTGTCTTTATAGAGAATCGCTTATTATATCAATCAGACTAAAATGATTTTTTATATATAAAAATTATAATACCGGGCGCATTCTAACTCACGACCCCTGAGTTTTTACCCTGAGGAAATTGATGTTGTAACCAGTGGACCATCAAAACGTTTTAAGAACAAGAAGGAATTAAAATAATTCAAATAATATCCTAATTATTGAAGCGAAGATTCTAGTAGTAAAATGCTAAGACGAACATCACGGAAATAGCGCTACGAGCAGTAGCCGTCACACACGTGATAGCATCACAAATATTGGTTCTTGATCAATTCGTTTCTAGTTATCATATATTTATTTAAAGTAAGTTTAAATTAAAAAATGCATGATAAATAACTAACAAAATGAGACCTTAAATAAGAAATTAACAATTAAAAGAATATTTGTTAATTAAAGATTCGATTCGAAACGATTGTCAAAATTTAAAAGTCATAAATATCATTATTTTCAATATATTGAAATAGTTGTATTTTATTAATTTTATTTTTATTTATAATAAATGTTGTAATTTTTAAAATATGTGGTTCTTTGTTTAATTTAATATTCGTTTAATATTTAATTTAATACTTGGCTAGCTCAATTATATGTTCTAAGCAATATGTCACTGTGTGACGTCGACTCTGTAGTCTCCTGGTAGAGTTCAAAAAGAAATTAAACCAAAATTTACTTTAGACTTTTGATAAATTAACCCAAATGAAGCACGTTATTTATTAATATTGAACAAATTTAATATAAACAATAAAATTCATCTGCAATTGGGTTGCCTTTAAAATTTTACAAAAAGAGGAATCGTGTAAATCTTAATGTGGTTTAGTGTCGTGACAATAATAATTTATTACAAAATGTGGAGACCCTCTACAAGTACCTAAAAACTAAATAAATATTGCAACTTTATAAAGTGTTTAAATGAACTATAAAGAAAAAGAAACTGATCACTTTATTCCACTGACTTTCAACTGGCATTCAAATATAACCAAAATTTCAAATGATCACCAAATTATTATGCAACCTCACTTTAAAACAGTTCTGATTTCTTTAAAGAAAACTAACTACTCGCAAAATAATCGGTAAAACTGGAATATCAATCCTCTCTTCGGAAGTTAAGGTACGTACTATTCTATTTTTAATTTAATGATCATTAATATTTTCAATTTTTAAGGCCTATCGCAATTATGTTAATTCATGAATTTTAATTTTCTCAATTTAAATGACATTTCTGTACTCCAATAATAATTTATAAGTGAAATTGTTTCTCTTACTCTCTAGAACAAATTCTGGATATCTCTGCTGTGGAAAAACTAAAATTCTAATTAGACGAGTTAAAAAACACTCCCGACCTATTCCACAGTTTCAGGGCTCCCCTTCGTCGAAAAATCCTCATCGGCCTCCAAAAACCCCAATTATCCGTTGCTAACAGCAACCAACGTTCTTTTTCTTTTCGTCTTCTATTTTTTTTTAAACCATAAAACTGTCCTGTTCTGACACATTTGTCAATCCACATTAATTTCTCATAATCACTTTAATCACATCTAATTTGGGAATTTATAAAAAAAAATGTTCAGATATAAAACTTATTCTATTACAATGCTAATACAATTTATTCTTTTCATCTCCACATCATTGTAATTTCTTATTTAACGTATATACTAGGCAACGATTCACGTATACACTAGGCAACTATACTATTCAGAAATTATTAACACTATACTAGGTAAGTCAAAATTAATTTATTTAACAATTTACTAATCTTTTTCTCTCTTTTATTTTAGAGTCGAACCCACATTGTGATGGCTTCATGAAATTCATGAACAACAAACATATAAAAATCCATTTAAGTTGTATCCTTTTTAACATAGTTGAAATCATTTCAATATATTGAATCTCTGTTTACATTTTTATGATATTTCTCGTCTTAAAATAATTTCATATAAATATGACCAATAATTTTATTTAATCTTATTTAGTTTATCACCATCATTCTAGCTTACAACCCTAAACGTCGGACGCCCCCTAAACGAGGGGCTTTCGTCGGAAACGTCGACGAAAGCCCCTCTACTTGAATCCATTTGCGGGGTATGGATTCGTAAAAGGTTTTCTTCTGATGACTCGTCTTGAGAAAGACGAGATATTTCTTACACGACGAAGAAATACCGTTGGAATAAACCATCAGGTTGTCTTCTTGATGACTTGCCTTGATAAAGGCAAGATATTTCTTACATGAACAAAAGGAGGTAGTCGAAATAATAACACCAAATATTGTTGGAATAAAATACTCAGCCACAGAGTATAGGAAAGCTAAAAACAAGAAAAGCAGCGCCCCGAGAGCACTAAGCTCTCGGAGAGCCCGTGAAGGACTGAACTGATTGACCTGAAAATCGCCTATTTTTATACTTTCCGAAGTTGCGATTAGGGATTTCCAGGTCAGGGAGGGGCCAACAGGAAAAATAAGGGGCGGGGCGATGCGTCTCGAACGTGAACTGGTCGCGTCCGAGAACAATATAGGGCAGATTTTGTCTAATAACTTAACAGCGCCACCTAGGAAAGAAATTTGAAGTACTAATATTTGACATTTCAATCATATTTTGTTCTCGAAACAATACTGTTGATTTATTGCTAATTCATTCTATAAATTGATGATTCAAATATTTTTAATCAGAAATTTTACTACTTCACAGTAATTAATGTTTTCGCAAATTTGCTAAAAATATAGGTTACTGTAATTGTAATATATATATATATATATATATATATATATATATATATAATAAATAAATATATATTTTTATATGTCATTGGGTAAGATAAACATCATCAAGTTAGAATCTATGGAGAGGGCATCACGTGACTAAAAACGACCTAACTTCGGCCATGTTCGTATTCTTGTCAATTATTGTGTTGAAACTTTGACAAGGTTTGTTTACGTTTGTTGTTTTTCGAATATTTTCCCTTTTATAATACTTTTATAAAAACTTGTAATAATATATTGTGATCGTGCAATTATAATGGTTTCTTCAAATATCGTTTCACAGGTTAGTATACAAATATGTAAACAAAGAAATGGCCCGTACTTCAGAGAATAAATTAATATTATTCATAAAAAATCTTAGATTAAGTTTAACAGAAAAGTTTCTCGATTAATTTTTCAGTCATTATTGAATATTTGTAAAAGTTTCCCAAATAGCAATTAAAATATCCACTTCCAATAAAATATAAGTAATGAATACACAGAACATAAAGATACTAATAAACAGTGTGTAAGCTTTTTATAATATTTTTTAGTTCAATAATCATGATTTTTATTTAAAATAAAAATTTGTTATTAATACTTAGTGATGCATATAATTGTATTTTTAGGTTTCCAAAAGATCCTGAAAGACGAGACATATGGATCAAATTTGTTAACAAAGGAATGTGGAAACCAACTAAATATAGTGTTTTATGTTCAAAACATTTTTTAGAAGAAAAAGATATTGATAGAACTTCAGTTTCTTCTATTCGTTTGAGAGACACTGCTGTTCCAATAGCTTATATCGGACAGGTAATATGCTAAACCTAGTTAATAATAGTATTTAATTAGGTTTAATAATATCTTATTAATTAAAATTAATTTTAATTAATAATAGTTATTAATTACAATTATTTATTAACTATTATTAATTAATTTAACTTAAATTCAAAGCTTTTTCAAATCTAAACTAAATAAAATACCACAATAAAACCAAAGAGTACTTAAAGAAGTTTTGTAATGTGTTTATGGATATGTTCCTTTTTTTATTATTCTTGGTACTTATTTAAAGTACATTTTCATGGTAGATTTTATATGAATTTATACCTAATAACATTTTTGCTTCTTTTTACATGTTCTGTTTTTCAGAACCAAATTGAACCTCCATATGATGAAATGCCCAGCACATCAACCAAAATGAATAATTCTGTTGATGTTACACCAAGAAAACGAAAGTTAATTAAACAATTAAATCGCAGCCAATTAATAAGTAGCGAAAGAAGAAGAAAATTGTCCTTATTATCGAAAAAACTATTTCGAAGAAACAAAAAACTTTGCCATCATGAAGGTTATTGTTTCAGAACTGAAAAAACATAATTATTTAGAGGAAGCAGTTCTTGATATTATTTCCAAAATAGGTGGACCAGAAGAATTGTTTTTAATGCAATATAAAAAAATTAAAAATCAATCACTACCTCGACAATATTCAGAGCAACTTAAAGTCTTTGCTTTGACCCTACATTATTATTCACCTGCTGCGTACAATTTTGTCAGAAGAGTTTTTCAAACTTGCTTGCCTCACCCAAGAACTTTGAGCAGGTGGTATCAAAGTGTTGATGGTGAACCTGGGTTTACTACAGAATCTTTTCGTGCTTTAGAAACAAAATCATCTATAGATACTGGTAAATTATATAGTTTAATTATAGATGAAATGTGTATCCGACAACATGAGGAATGGGTTGCAGAAAAAGATAAATGTTATGGTTATAGTGTCCATCCTAAAATGTGATCCCATCTTGCAAATAAATAAATCTTCAAGAGATTTTAGAATCTTATCGCAAGATCCAGCTTTTAATGAAGTGGATGTTATGATGGATCATGATTACTTGCCAGATACTCTGAGTGAATATGCAAAGTATGTAGTTGCCTATATAGCAGGTCATGTTGTTCACTCGTTAAAAACGAAAATAGTTTGTACTGAATGTTCTAATGCATTTATTAGTTCAACAAAAGATTTATACTTTTTTTCTTTC